TGTGTGTGTGTGTGTGTGTGTGTGAATCACAGACTGTAAATAAAGATCGACAAAATGACAAAAAGTAAAATCAAAATGTCTCTGTCTCCCCCTGGTGTCTGACTGCAGTATAGCTCATAAACTCCTCCTCCATGTTAGTAGATGGGACATGGACCAAAGTAAAAATCAAAGTAGACGTTAAATAAAAGTTTCTGTCATTTCAGGTCGTTCTTATCCGTTGATGTTTGTTCACGTGTTTCTGATCAGTTTGTGTTTGATTGGTTGATGATAGTGAAACAAGACGTCATGATTGACAGCTGACACTGGCTCCTGAGAGGTGGAGAGTGTGTGTGGGCGGGGCCTTGATACAGCTCCACCTCACGATCACTGCTGCACAGACTGTGAATGATTTCATCACCACAAGATGGCAGCTTTTGTGTCTGAGATATATTAGGCGTGTCATCGTCTTTATTTACAGTCTGTGGTGTGTGTGTGTGTGTGTGTGTGTGTGTGTGTCTGTGTGTGTCTTACCTCGTTGAGCTGTCCAGTCACATTAGTTATTAAAGGAGCAGCATGAGGGATCAGGAGACAACAGTCAGTTTAAACATCACTGATCGAAGGTGGTTGATCAGAGTCTGGTTCATAATAAAACTAAATGTCTTAAGGACCCTTCAGAACCTCTACGAAGGTTCTCAGACTGGCTGAGGATCCTTAATAACCCGTCACACATACTGTTCTCTGAATTTGACCAGTCACCTTCAGGCAGACGTTACAGAGTGTAAAACCAACCAAGCTCTCACTCAACGTGGATCACTCCACTCAACAGTGTGATACAGTGATATGTCCATGTGTACTGTTGTTGTTGTTGTTGTACAATGTACTGTTCTGCAGCTGCTGCAACACTTTGTCCCAAGACAAATTTGCCTCCGGGACAATAAAGTATATTTGATTTGATTTGTTAATAATATTCACACTGATCATTATCACACACAATTATGATCAATAATCAATCTTCCTGATCTGAGCCGCTCAAAAACAATCAGAAACCAGATTCAATGAGTCTCAGCTGATTAATAACTACAGCGTCCATCGATTGAAGGCTGATATATCTGTTACTGATCAAAGAGGATCAAAGATCACATGAACGAGCTAAGTAACATTCAACTCTTTAAATAAAAAAATAAAACATCTTTAAAAAGTTTTAATAATTCATTTTGTTTTATAAAAACTACTGAGTGTCCTCACAACTACAGAAAGACAAACGCGTGTGTTAGGGAGAGTGTGTGCTCAGTATGTATAATGGATTAGCCCTGAGGGCAGCCTGCTGGACCTGTACACACACACACACACACACACACACCACACACACACACACACACACCACACACACACACACACAAACCACACACACACACACATACACAGATATATATACACACACACACAGATACACACACACAGATACACACACACCAATACACACACACACATACACAAGCACACAGATACACACACACACACACACAGATATATATACACACACACACACGCACACACAGATACACACACACGTCAGATCAGTCAATTGAGTCTGTGGAGAAGTGATGACATAATTATATTGAACTTTCATCGATTCACTGATAACTGACCAGCTAAGATGTGGGGTTGCCATGGCAACCACTTCCAACAGGGACACACTTTGTTTGTTGTTTGTACAATTACACTGATCACAGGCAATGTATGGAAACCATCTCCCCTAGCAACCACTCCCCTAGCAACCATGCAGCTGTGTGATGGAGAGAGTTGAACTGTTTGAAACAGTGAGTTGTGTTTCTGATCAGTGACTTTCTGGTTTAATGAAACAACGCTTCCTTTAATAAAAGGGAGTCCGTCACGTCGTAGCTCCACCCACACCACTTAAAATGTAGAAATGTAAAAAGGTAGAAATGTAAAAAGGTAGAAATGTAAAAAGGTAGAAATATAAAAAGGTAGAAATGTAAAAAGGTAGAAATGTAAAAA